CCTCCCCAACCCAGCCCCACCCCAGATCAGCCTCCCCACCCCGATCAGGGGCAGGGCCAACTGGCCAACCACCCATGGCCCCGCCCCCAGGCTGCTGGCCCCCAATCGGCACCCCCACCCCATTTGGGGGTGGGGCTGGCCAACACACTGCCCACAATCTCTCCCCATGGCTGGCCCTGCCCCCAATTGGCCCCCCAACCCCAACTGGGGGTAGGGCCCGCCGTCCAATCATCCATGGCCCCTTCCCCAAGCTGGCCTGGCCCTGATCAGGCCCCGATCAGGGTGGGCCTGCTGGCCAACCTCCCGCCATCTCCTCCTCCCGACAGGCCCAGCCCTGATCCACCCTGATTGGGGCCGGGCTGGCCAGACCCCACCCGTGCATGAATTCATGCACTGGGCCTCTAGTAGATGCATAGAACTCAAGACAAAGAGTTTTAACTTGAATTATTGTGGTATCGATGGAAATAACATTCTCAGATTCAGAGAGAATTATAAGACTTATTTCATTTCCCTGTGCTGCTGCTTCTTCTAATTCTTCTCCTCCCCCCCCCCCCCCCCCCTTCTCTCTTTCTCTCTCTCACTCTGGCTTAAAACAACAGAAATATGTTGTCTCACAATTCTGGAGACTAGCAGTCTGAAGTCAGGGTATCAGCAGACTTGTTACTTTCTGAAGGACATGAGGGAGAATCTACTCCACGCCTCTCCTGGCTTCTGACAGTGGCTGTGCTCCATGGCTTGTTGATACACACTCCAATCTCTGCCTCCATCATTACATGGCATTCTCTCCCTGTTTGTTCCCTGTGCTTTTTAGACACAGAGAATTCTTACCTCTTGCCTACCTCTTAAATGTTGGTGTTCCCTGCAGTTCTGATCTCAACTCTTTTCACACCTGTTGCTTCACTGGTAAGTAAATTAGATTTCTCTTCTGAGTGTGAGATCCCGTATATATTCAATGTACCATATGTGCTATTTCTACATTGCATTGGAAAGTGGTCTCCAAACTTAAATTGTGCATAAATAAATAGTTGAGCATGCCCCTCAAGATGCACATCCTATCTAATAATAGACAAACACGGTAATTGACTGTACCTTCGCTACGCCTCCCATTGGCTAATCAGCACGATATGCAAATTAACCCAACCAAGATAGCAGCTGGCAGCCACGCAGCTGAAGCAAGCAGGAGGCTTGCTTGCTCCAGTGAGGGAGGAAGCCAAGGTTTCCCGCCTGCCGCGGCCTGGCTCTGAGCTCTGAAAGCAACAAAGTTTCAATTATAGAAGCTAAACAAACCCCAGATACCTGCTTTCAGCAGGC